TAAACATTTTACTAAGTAAATGTCTTTAAACAGTCTAGACTTATTTACATATTTACTGTGTACAATTTCCTTTTTAAGTACTTCAATCTTATGATGTGAAAATTTTTATTAGCATTCAAATAACTAAGTTTAATAAGTTAAACAGAAATATGGTAAACCTTAAATTCTCTTTAGTATTTCAACCTAAAATCATATTCTTCCTTTCTCTGGTGATGATGCTCTAGTCTGCAGGCCTAGGGTTTTTCTCTATTTGGAAGGCAACTTTTGCCAGGCATTTTGGGCCCTCCCCCATTCCATAGCATGTTTTTCCTCATGGATCAAACTTAAGTCACTAAAAGTTTTGGGAATTAGAATATTTTCGACTTTAAAATAACCCCATACCGTTCAATAGATTCATCTTAGTTCTGCGAGTTAATATATGCCAAACACTCAGAGCAGTGTTTGGCCCACAGTACATACTATGTAATTGCCTGCTATTATTATGATTACCTGATGTGGTCTCAAGCCAATTGATTGTGAAATCAAAACCCTGAAAGAGTGTCTTTGACTGAAAAGGGAGAGCAGTTAGTTTACTGCCAGTATAAATTTTGTATGCTACAAGCATGAGAATAGAGACATTGTCAAAAACTATATTAACAAGTAGTGCAGACAGCATAGTACAGTTTAGTATAGCATAGCTGACATGGCATAACGTAGTGATGGAGAACACAGCACGGAAGTAAACTTTGCCCTGATTAAATGAGTACCTAGTGCTCTGTACCAGTTCATAGCAGATGCTCAATATCTGTGGGCCTCTTTGGTATGCAGGTTATTACATATATTGCACACTTAGATTCACAGAATCTGATTTTAGCATAACATGCGGACTTACAAAATTGTAAGTCAGAAAGGAAGGCTTTTCTGTTTATAATTTGATTTCTTCTCACACCTCAGGCAAATTAGCTCTATCTTGCAATCACACTATTTCCTCAACTTAGCTGATGCAGGACTTATATAGTAATTGCCATCACAAGCATTGCTGTTTTGAAGTAGCTCAGTGGTTTCATTTGGTCACTTGAAAACCGAGAGGAAAATTGTTAGCTCTAGATGTGTGATTTTTCTGCCACCTACTGATGCAAGTGGATATTTCATTTTTACAATCTTGGAAGAACTTTTCAGAAAATATGAAACCTAAACACTTATTCCTGTTACTTATGAAATTAATGATTAGAATTAAAAATACTTTCTGTGTGTGATTTCTTATTTTTATGACATTCTTTTGAGGTTCTTCATTTCTGAATATGTGTACTTTGCAGATTGATTAACAAAAAAGACAAATCTTGTTCATACTGCAGTATCCTCTTTATAAATAATGTGGATCTAAATGATTAAAGTTTTAGTGTTTCTAACATTATTCAGAATATGTTTAAAAATAGAATGAAAATGTAGAAATTTTAGTAGAGAAATTAAACTCATGAATATGATGTTTCACATATTCTATTTGAAGTTCAAAAGCAGATTTAGGACCAGAGAGCTCATTTTCCATTAGTCTTCCAATTAAACTTTCCACTCCTACTCTAAACCTTGGGGTGGGAAGTAGCAGGAATAAGAAAAGAGGAATGTTTGTTTGCAACTGTATGGCTCAAGTAATCAGATTGAGGTAATTAAAAGTAAAACTTGTTGAATAGAAAGATACCAGGCTTAATTTCCCCCCATCTAATAGTTTCTGGAATGAAAAATAATAACAAATTGGCACTTTTACCCTCACATGCCTGTTGTTAAACATGATGCTTATAATGTGGATGGAATAGATTGGCAGGTGAAGGTGCTACAAACGAACTCCACATATGGAAACATTATCCTTGATATTAGGGGAAGGAGCCCAAAGCCACTCAGTTGCAGTTGCTTGACCTTCCTAAATATGTCTTCAAAATATTAACAATTATGTAAAAATAGAAAGTTAACAATTCTTGAAAAAAGTCACTTGTACTACACTACCACACCCTTTAGAGCAAAATATTTTTTAAGA